TTGCCAACTCGTACAATAATATACAGAGTAAAACATATCTCCTCCCTTTCCACCACCCGACACCGCCGACCGAAAACTTGTCGACCAAGTAGAGACACGGTCATCAATCAGCGGCGTTGGAAGAGAACGACACCGCTAATGGTGCCGGATAAACCCATTTACCAGCAGAAGTCCGGCCCACCATAGCCACTACAACACAGATAAGAATAACGGCCCCATTTTCCATAACAAATATCTCCACAATCCACATAGTTATTCTCATCAGCCTCTCCAACATTTTTGAAATTTGAACCTTTTTATTATTTCTCCCAAACATAAATTAAATACTGAGTTAAAGTTTGAGGATGCATTTATTTTTTTAGTTACCTCTTGAGAGTGCAAAATCTAAAATTTCCCCACACATGTTAACTTCCGTTAACTTTCACCTTTTTTGCGCAATCCTTGGCCAGACCATTTCTGAAGTCGTGTTTGTTGTTTGAATTACTTATTTCCTTCTCAATTTCTCATTTACTTTTTGTTCTTAGGATTCGTTTGGTAAGTTTTGGAGATATGATAAGATGTGAGTTATGAAATTTGAAAGAAATGAAATGAGTTTTGAAATTTGAAATGAGTTTCTTTGGATATATTTAAAATCATGATTTAATTAGTGATAAGTGGGGGTGACCGGTAGCAGGAGTGGTCGGCGGTGGCGGAGAATGATCAATGGTTGAGAGAGATATCAAACCCTCATATTGATATCTCTCAAACTTGGGAGATACCAAAACCCTCCATTTGAAAGATTTATGATATCTGAAGATATCGAATTCGATATCTTTTTTTTGCTTTACCAAACATCAAGAAAGAATTTTGATATTTGGAGATATCAAAATCTTTATCTTGTTTATTCACCAAACACACCTTTAATTCCTTTTTAATCTTTTTATTAATGGAGTATTTTTCAGACCATGAAATTATGTCTAATAATTTTTTTAAATAAAATACATCTAAAAATGTTCGCGCAGTGGTTTGTCATTTTTGTGTGAGGTCGCCAGAGCAGAGAGATCGTCGTCGAAAGTTTCGCCGGAAAATTCTCAAAACCTTCGTTTAGCTTCAAGGTAAGCCCGTAGATATATCTAATGACTAGAATGTTCATATAGGTCGTTTTTACGTTCATAAATGGTCATTTGGTTGAGTTTTGTGTTTGACATGTTTGAAGAACTAAGAATCATAAACCTTGAATTTGATGTTAAAACCATGAATTAATGATACCAAAATGATCTATGAACCTTGGAGAACATTTCTACATAGTTTAATTGAAGTTTGGTAACTAAAAATAGAATTTTCGAAATTGGACCCGAGAGGTAGAAGACGATGAACAATGATCGAAAACCAGCAGGGTGGATCGGTCCACCCCATTGGATCAATCACACGAAGTGTTTTCTCTACGGAGGATCGATCTAGAGTGCTAGATCGATCCCCCAACCTGTTTCCTCCGAAAAATATTTCTGAAAATGTTATTTTTGAGCTCTAAAATCCTATTTTTTATACCAATTAATTATGAACAATATAAAGATAATTTTTCACAATAAATATGATGTTTTTGACAAATAAAATCTTATATGATGTATGACGGTAAGTTTGGGTGTTAACACTCGAAACTAGGCCGCTATTTGCTATTGAATGTTATGTTGATTGATCATTATGATGAATAACTATTATGAATGATTATGAATGATGAACCTACTGATTAGAATTAGGGGTGGACACGGTACGGTTCCGGGACGGTTCCGGTTCCGGAACCGCCGGCTCCGGTACTGCCACCCCTTGGTACCGGTACCGCCACCCCTTGGTACCGGTACCGGTACCGGACCGGCCGGTACCGGTTCCGGTTCCGGTACCGTTTCCGGTACCGTTTCGGCCACCCCTAATTTTGTTTTTTTTTTTGCTTTTTTATTATATTTTTAAAATGTAAAATTGTAAATGTGTAATTGTTAAAGGAAATGATGAAATAAAAAAATCTAAAAATGAAATTGATAAAGGAAAGAATGAAATAAAAAAANNGGCCGGTACCGGTTCCGGTTCCGGTACCGTTTCCGGTACCGTTTCGGCCACCCCTAATTTTGTTTTTTTTTTTGCTTTTTTATTATATTTTTAAAATGTAAAATTGTAAATGTGTAATTGTTAAAGGAAATGATGAAATAAAAAAATCTAAAAATGAAATTGATAAAGGAAAGAATGAAATAAAAAAAAAAAAAAAAAAAACGGTAACGGTACCGGAACCGCCGGTACCGAAAAATGGGCACCGGAACCGGTACCGGATTGGGCAGTACCGGTACCGGTTCCCGGAACCGGTGGACCGTACCGGACGACGGTAACGGTACCGGAACCGGCGGTACCGTTTCCGGTACCGGTACTGTACCGGTACCGTGTCCACCCCTAATTAGAATGGTTATTGATGATTAATCATGACTAAAAATAGATATATTGGTAATCATGAAGATAATGTATTGTTAAGGATATCTAGAACAACTCTAAGATATACCATAGTGATGTTGATTTTGAAGGGTATCTAGAAGAACTCTAAGATATACCCATTTAAGTTAGGCCTTGTGGGTATGATGCCTGGTGGCAGGGTTAAAACGTATGTACGGGATCCAAGAACCAAACTTGAGTACCTACTCGTTTAGGGGTACCACCCAACCCAACAATGAACACTACGCTGTCGGTTTCTGGTTGACCTTAAGAGAAGGTAAATTTAAGATTTGAAAACCTTTTTAAAATATATACATCTTAAACTAGGCCTAGCTTAAGGGTTAGTTAAGAATATCTTAAACTAGAACTAGTCTAAGAATTGAATTGGTCTTAGACTAAGAATAGTTTAAGGATATTGTTGAATACGAATGTTGAATATTGAATATGAATGTTGAACATTGAATATTTAATGATAAATGTTGAATAATGAATATTTGAACTGAACATTACGTGCATGATATCAAATGATTCTATTATGAATTGAGATTCAATTTATATGGATGTTCGACGCTTTAGATATGCTTATTCAGCTTCTCCGCTAAGCGTGTAATGTGTTTTATTTGCTACACGCAAGTAAGCAGAATGAATGATTGGTGTGTTCTTGGCAGCAAATGTAGCGACATAGTCGTGCTGGATTTATAAATAAATGATTATGTTGTTAGAAGACATGGTTTAAATTCGCTTCCACATCATTATTAAACACTCCGTATTTTCTACAGTCATGTATTGAATATTATTTTTATGATGAATAAAGATGTTTGAAATGTTTTAAATTCTACGATTACCAAGTTTATACTTTAGTCCGAAAGGGGCTGCAGACCTGGGCAGATTAGGGTGTTACAGCTAGTTTAGAAAGCAAATTGGGAAAGTTTAATAATGCCTCAATCGTTTATTTTTTGGTGAAGTCAAGTGCTAGTGGATTTTTTCAATAGTGCAGAAGTATTTGAAAAATAATGTTAACCTCAAAGATGTTAAAATTTGAGGTGTGCATGAATGCTTTTTATCATTTATTTTCCTTTTAATATAAATAAGCCACGTGCTATGCAAAAAACATTACAATGGAGATCATATATAATTTTTTTGCCTTTTAACCTTCGTTGTATAAACATGTATATTAAACATTTTTAAACCTTTTATTCATTAATAGCTTAAAGGCCATCAATTTAATTGGCATCAATTTCATACATCAATTTAATCGGCATTTTTGTATTTTTTAGTGTAGTAATATTGTTAGTGAGTTTTATTTTTTCATTCTACTATTTATAAGACATTTTTATATAATAGAAATGCATTGTTTATCAATTTATAATTTTTTATCTTTTAATATATGCAGTATATATTTTATTTTTTAAGAAATATTTAAATATTGGGGTTACATTATTTTGTTTTTAGGAAAATAGTATTTGAATATCATTTATTCATCTCTTTCAAATAATTTTCACCTACATATTTCTTTTTGTTTTTAATATGAATTTAATGTTTGTTTATTTTTTTTGCAAACTCGAGTTGCTAGTGATTTTTTTCAAGAGTACAAAAGTATATAAAAATTAATGTTAAGTTCTAAGATGATAATTTTTTTACATTTTTATATAAATAAGGCATGTCTTATTTTAAAAAAGGCATTACGGGCCATGTATAACTCATTTGCCTTTACATATTCGTAATATTATCTTTAAGCACGTAGATATTAAACAGTTTTCTATCTTTTAACAATAAATAGCTTATATACAGAGTAATTTTCAAATTCTATGTATTTTTTTTATAAATAAAGCGTCTATCATATATAAATATAATACTTAATTTTTAACCAAAAATATAACAATTAGTATTTAAGAATATTTTTTGAACGTAACACATTTATAACAATTAATACAACAAATTTTTTTAATCAATTTTGTAGAAGAAGAAACAGAGAAAATCTGATCTTGCGCGAAGAAGTAAAGGTCATCCCTAAAAAAAAGCCTTAAAGGCAATGCATAAAAAATACATAGAAGTCAATGATGACATGACTCTCGAGGTGTTTAAAAATTAGAGAAATTTGTCGAGAATAGTACTAAAATTCATTGATATTCCCCATTTGGTACCACTTTTCATTTATTCTTTTTATAGTACTAGTTTTATCACGGGATGCCTATTTTAACCTCCCATAATCTCATTCAATCGTCCAGTCCCACGTTTGTATTCTCTATTTCTTATTCTTTTCTTCTCATATTATATTCTTTCTTTCTTTTTCTTATTTTTCTTTTTCTTCCTCTTCTTATTCTCCATAACCCCAAGCACAACCATGCCCCACGTGCCGCCGTTGGCCATTGCAACAGCCCTTCACCCCTGACACAACCGTGTGCACCCCTACCCCATGTCGTCGGCGGTCATCGCCACATCTCCACTGTGGCCTAATTTCTTTCGTTTTTTAAGAATTATTATTTATTCGTCGTCTGCATTGCTGCAAGGACATTAAAATCTGTATACAATGACATTAGATAATGTGAACATTGTTTGTTACAAGTAGACATTGATTGAGAGTAAGCGGACATTAAATTGTCACAATGTAAGTGGACATTAAATTGTCACAATGAACAAATGGATATGAGTGTAAAAAAGTGAGGAAGACATTATTAGTGACAAGGAATAACATTAAAGTCACAAAAATATTACTCCGTAAAATTATGATGGACAGAGTAATTACATGACACTGATTATAACAAAAGGATAAAACATTAATTAATTACATATCATATTTTGTCTTGTTTAGGAGTATTTTACTTTTAAGAAGACCAGGTGACATCCTCATTGGCCAATCTCTTTCATTTTTTAAAATGTTTTTTATTCGCTCGCATTGTCGCAAGGACATTGAACTTCATATACAATGACATTGAATAGTGTGAACATTGTTTGTTAGAAGTAGACATTGATTAAGAGTAAATGAAATTAAATTGACAAAATGTAAGTGGACATAGTTGTCACAATGAGTGGATGGACATTAGAGTAAGAAAGTGTGGAAGATATTATTAGAGACAAGGACATATTTTTGTGAGGCAAGGACATTAAAATCGCAAAGATATTAAAATGGTGGTAGACACTACACGACATTAACTGTAAGAAAAAGAACTACTTAATCACATATCATATTTTATCATTTATGACAAACCACAATTTTTAGTATTATTGATTTGACTATAATGCAGTATCTATTTATATTTTTATTTTAAAACGAACAACCAAGTTTTAAGAAAAAAAAGTAAAAAACAATTAAGTAAAAAGTAGGCCGTAGTACAAAGGCATTTCGAAAATTTAAATTTTAAAAAATGCATGCCAAACACGGACTTAACAGGTGCCCTTATTTGCTCCTTATGTCCTTAATAATGAGCTAGTGCGAGTAGTGCATGCGCTACAGGAAGGACAAGGGCATTTTAGTCCTTTCGATGGTAAGAGAGGATTAAAAAAGGTTTTAGATAGTCCTAGTCCTATTTTGGGAAATCGTTATTGTTTTAGTACCTTTTAAGGAAAAATCCCTAAAAATTATTCAGTTAGTATGTCAAATGTCATCATTGTAGAAGCTCAAACTCCTAGATATTATATATAAAGATTAAATTCAGTCAATGATGTTGAAATTGTAAAGAAAGTTAGCTTGAACATAGTATTTCATGGTGACACAGTTTTTTGATCAATTTTATTATATAATAGAAGATAATTAAACATAAGATATTTTTTAATTTATATAAGAAATCATCTAAGGACTATAAACACAATTTCTCTAGTGATAAATCAAATCAGAAAAAATATATTCTAACTATGGAGTTATGTATAATATATTTTTCTAATTTAACACAATCATAGTTCAATCATCTCTTGTTCTTAAATTTTTTTAATGTAATTTTTAAGAAAATATACTTTAATAATGTAGTTTTAAAATTAATTAAAAGTGTAATTATAAATGAAGAGAGTAAAAAATATTAAATTGGGAAAGAATACTATTATAAAAAATGAATTTTCCTATTTCATAATTAAATTTATTCAAAGATTTCATACCATAGCAATAATTTCACATTTTATACATCCTAAATTAGGTGGAATATTAGGTGTCAGAACAAATGCAAATTTTTTTATAGGTGACGAAATATTTTATTTATTAGCTGTTAATATTTAAATAAATATTATCAAACTAACTTTATTTATTTATATGTTATTGGAGTACTTACTATTTTAGTTGTTTTGTGCCTATGGTTTCTATTGGGCTCATAGCCTGTGTAAATTTTGTGCCCTGGTCGTGTGCATAAGAAAGCCTGAGAAGTTATTTTTCCTAAATTCTACATGGATGGTATTGGAGCTCTTTTCTTGGGAATTCCTGTAAACAATCGTACCAGTTCGTTTTCCGATCTGTCGGCCGATCACCAACTCTGGTCGCGAACTGTCCGTCGATCGCCAAGGTTGGCCGCCGATCTGTCACTGTCCAATCTACTCGCCGATCGCGACTCGTCCAGCCGCCGATCTGTCCGTCGGTCCCTAAGTCTGATCGTCAAGGTCGATTGTTATTATCCATCAGTTTGGTCGTCACATGCTTAGGGAATTTTGAGAAAAGCTCCAGTAGTTTGCAAAAGTTACCCGCACCGGCCGCACGCAATTGCTCACTGAAGGGTTTGCGAGCAGGTTTGGTTAATTTTTTGGGCCAATTGGATTTGAGTAATTAGTGGGTGTTTGTTGGTTCAAGTATTTGGCCAATTTGCTACAGTTAGTATTTGGTCACATTTTGAGGTATTTGTTTGGTCACAACAAATATATTGATAATGAATTCGGCCTCTTGTGACTAGTTGATAGATAGTGGTGCCTCGCACCACATGACAGGTGTGTTGTCTCACATGTTCGACATTGAAAATGTCTCCATGTTTTATAAGTTTACTTGATGGTTATCGTGTTCATGCGGACCAACGAGGAAGTGTGAGACTATCTTCATGTTTGGTTCTTACTGGTGTTCTATTTGTGCCTAATCTAAATTGTCATTTGATCTTGGTTGGTTGCCTGATTCGTGATAATATTTGTCATGTAATTTTTAATGATCATTGTTGTGTAATACAGAGCCTTACATTGAAAACGGGGATTGGACGGGGTGAATTGCGAAATGGAGTGTACATTTTCAGCAATACTTCTGCCAAAGCTCTGGCCTCTACCACTGATCCTGTTCTCATTCATCAGCGTCTTGGTCATCCGTCTCCAAAAATATCCTCTTTTCTTGGTCTAAATAACAACAACTCCATTGTCAAGAAGTTGCAAACATGTGAAATCTGTTTTATGTCTAAACAGACTCGTTCCTTGTTTTCAGTTAGTTCCAATAAAGCTGATGATGTTTTTTATTTAATTCATTGTGATATCTGGGGTCCTTATTCTGCATGTATTTCTACAAGCGCTCATTATTTTTTAACAATTGTCGATGATCATTCTCGTGCTGTTTGGGTGTATCTTATGAAAGCTAAAAGTGAAGTCACCTCGTGTCTTAAGCGTTTCTTTTCTATGATTGCAACTCAGTATCAGAAAAGTATAAAAATTGTTCGATCTGACAACGGTATTGAGTTCCTAAATAAGCCCCTTCTTGAATATTATGATCAAATGGGTGTTCAGGTCCAAACTTCATGTGTAGGTACACCTCAACAGAATGGTCGGGTAGAGCGTAAGCACCGTCACATCCTTAATGTGGCAAGGGCACTCATGTTCCAAGCCTCTCTTCCCCTTGAGTTCTGGGGAGAGTGTGTCAAAACTGCTGTCTATCTCATCAATCGTATTCCCACTAAACTTCTGGGAGGAAAGTCCCCTCTTGAGATTCTTTCTTCCAAACCTTGTGATCTCAGTCATCTCCGTGTCTTTGGGTGTCTATGTTTTGTTCGTCAAAAACTCTCAAATAAATTCGCAACCCGTAGTGTCAAATGCATGTTTGTTGGTTATCCTTATGGTACTAAGGGATGGCGAGTGTATAATCTTGAAACTCATCGTTTTTTCATACTCCTGATGTTTCTTTTGATGAGTCTGTGTTCCCGTTTGCCATTCCTCCATCATCGTCGTCTCCGTTCTGTGTCACGTCCCATGCAGATTTTCCAGAGTTTACACCAGAACCTGCCAATACCACGTCCAAAACCCCCACCGTTATCAACCCGACTGAAGGAGGAACTCTTGACCCAAAACCATCCCCTCGGTCATTCCAGTTTTGGCCACACCCACCTTTTTTCTCAGACGACAATCACCCAAACAACGACTGAGGATCCTCCAGAGTCGTCCGTTCCTGTTCCTCCTCCACCTTCGATCCGACAGTCCTCACGCCCTGTCGTCCTCCCACTCATCTTGATGATTACATTTGTCACTCTGTAAAAGTGTATACTCCATTGGTATCATCTTCTGTCCGTCTTCGATTTCAGGTACACGGTTCCTATTACTAACTTTGTTCAATATAATAAGTTACATGACAGGTACAAGGGATTCTTGGGAGCTGTGACAACTAATACTGAGCCTAAAAATTTTCGTGAGGCTATTCAATTTGCCTCATGGCGTGAGGCTATGGCTCAGGAATTACTGGCTTTTGAGCGTAATCATACGTGGGACATTACTGATCTTCCTCCATTCAGGCGTGTTTTGGGTTGTCAGTGGGTGTATCACACCAAGTTTCATTCTGATGGCACTAAGGAACGGGACAAAGCCCGATTGGTGGTGTTGGGTAATCATCAGGAGTTTGGGATTGATTATACTGATACTTTTGCACCAGTGGCTAAATTAACCACAGTGCGTATACTTTTGTCTGTTGCTGTTGCTAGGTCATGGGAGGTTCATCAGTTGGATGTCAATAATGTATTTTTACATGGTGATCTACAGGAGGAAGTTTATATGAAACTTCCTCCAGGTTATACTAGGGCCTATCTTGGTAAGGTCTGTCGTCTCCGTAAGTTGTTTTATGGCTTAAGGGAGTCCCCTCGTAACTGGTTTGCTAAGTTACGCACTGCATTACGGCGTTATGGGTTTCGTCAGGCCCACGCTGATCATACTTTGTTTGTTTGGTGCCATGGTCCTTATATTTTGGTCGTATTAGTTTAATGTTGATGATATTCTTGTGGCAGGGAATAATCCTTCTGTTTTCTCTTTTTTCAAGAAATATCTGAATGATTGTTTTCATCTGAAAGATCTTGGTCCTGTCTCTTATTTTCTTGGGATTGAGTGTGCTAGATCTCCTGAGGGTATGGTTCTAAATCAAAGGAAGTATGCACTGGATATTATTCAAGAAGCTGGTCTATCTGGGTGTAAGCAGTCGATAACCCCATTCAGCCTGGGCATTCCTTTGCTACTTCTAGTAATTCGGAGATCCGTGATCTTTCTAAATACCGACGGCTCGTAGGACGATTATTATACTTGACTATTACACGTCCTGATATCTGTTTTTCAGTTCATGTTTTATCCCAATTCATGCATGCCCCACTGCTTGATCATCTTCATGCGGCAATGCGTGTAGTCAGGTATTTAAAAGGTCATCCAGGTCAAGGCATCTTCATGCGAAGTAATAGTGATTTGTCCCTTACTGCTTACTCTGATTCAGATTGGGCAAGCTGTCCCCTTACCCGTCGGTCTGTCACAAGATATTTTATACTCTTGGGAGGGTCGCCAGTCTCTTGGCGATCTAAAAAGCAAACTACTATTTCTCGTTTATCTGCTGAGGCGGAATATCGTTCCATGGCTAGTGATGTAATGAGATTCGATGGATTCGAGGTCTTGTAGCTGCTTTACAGGTCCCTTGTGTTGCCACTCCGAGGTAATATTGTGACAACAAGTCTGCTCTTTTCATTGCTGCTAATCAGGTTTTCCATGAGAGATCTAAGCATATTGATATTGACTGTCATATTGTTCGGGAATGTGTTCAACGTCGGCATGTGGCCACGACATACGCAAGGTCGTCTCCAAGGAATTAGGGGCTCTGTCTGACACGGAGAAAATACATCATTGTGTGATAAAAAATAAAATTTATCAATTAATTTCTTTAAATAATATTTAACATTGTAGTAATAATAAAATGTCAAACTCATAGTCTTATAAATTTGTAATTATATACTCCGTACTTTAGTACCTAACTGAGGATTCGTGAAGTTCTTTTATCATTCTTGAGAGCAAATAGGTTGATCACCTCTTCATTGTTTATTATATTTAGTGATTTAGGATTGTATTTTTAAAAATAAACCAAGAATTTTTTATATAAATAAATATATACATGTTTATATACAAAAAATGGGCCCCATTCAAAAATGGGCCCTGGCCAAGTGACCACCCTACCCACCTTTAGAGCCATCACCGGGCATACGTCTCCACAAAGTTGCAAGTTGCTGATATTTTTACCAAGGCGGTGTCTGGTCCTCTTTTCCGTTTCTTACTCTCCAAGTTGGGCACTCTTGATATTCATGTTCCAACTTGAGGGGAGTATTGGAGTATTTACTACGGAGTATTTTAGTTGTTTTGGGCCTATGGTTTCTATTGGGCTCATAGCCTGTGTAAATTGTATATATACTGGTCGTGTGCATAATGAATTAGGACAAAAAGTATAGAACTAGGACAACATATTATCATAAAAAGAAAGACTTTTTTCCATTTTTTAAGTTTACTCAAATATTTCTTATCCAACTTTTAGTTTCATAAGAAAAATTAGGTGGCGTGTTAAGTGTTAAAAAAGGTCACATAAGCATGCCACATGTCAAGTTCTTAGAGACCCAACTCTCCTATTTTATATATAAAGGATAAAGGATAGGCTAGGATAATATATTTAAATTTATATGCTTTCTTTTCTCCATCTAGTTTTCAATTCCATTGTTTATATACTCTTTGACACTTTCTATTTTTTTATTATAAACAATAGATATTCATTGATTTTTATAGATGATATGTTTTTTATAAATTATTTATCATTATTTTAATATAAAAATATTTCATATTTTTTTTATTTCGAGTTATTTTAAAAGTTCATAAAATAAGTGCATTAAGTAGACATGTTCTTTTTTACAAATAGATTAAGTTTTATTTAAACAATTCACCTAACGGCATAAACCATATAATTGAAGCTATATATACTACTCATTTTGCATGGCTTTATTAACAAGGTGTAGAGGGTGTCTGACACTGTAGTAGTTTACATGAAAACCAGAAGTCATAACGTAGAAGGCAAAAACATTTAATCCTAACTTTGCCAAAAAGCACTTTTGGAGCTCATTTTGCACTCAGAAATCATACACCATAAGTACAAGTGAAATTTGCACTAAATAGCTCTAAAACATATGTCCTTTCTCAATGTAGCACTTAAAGTTTTCTATTCCCTAAATAGTACTTGAATAATGTCTAGTAGCGGGAACAATGTTCAGTGATGGTGGACATTTAGCTTGAACAATGTCCAGTGGTTGTGGACATTAACAATGACCAGTAGACATTGAACAGTAGTACTACATTGGAAAATAAAAACATATGGTACTATATTGGAAAAGTCAATATGTTTTAGAACTATTTAGGTAAATTTTCCTAAGTAGAATTAGATTTGTCAAACACACAAAATTGCTTTTGAACGAGGTAGAAGCTCAAAAGTTATTCTCTAACACAATGCCAAAAGGTCACCCTTGCCATGTTATTTTATAAACACAGAGTACAACACCAAAGTAAAAATAAAAGAAAAAATTACATCAATGCTCCGAGATTTGATTGATTATATAATATTACTCTCAAATTCATTTTTTCACGCTGATATTTTGAAAAATCAATAGATTTTACATTGCTAAGGTTCAAGTCTTTAGCCTTACCATTTTATTTTATAAATACGGAGTACAAGACTAAAGTAAAAACAAAGGATTGGAAAAATTCACATCAGTACTTTTAGATTTAGTTGATTATATAATATTATTTTCAAATTCACTTTTTCTCGCTAATACTTCGAGCAACAGATTTTACATCGCTACTTTAGCCTGGCTCTTTGGATTCAAATCCTACGCTCACAATTTTTTTATGAAATCAAAACTAAAGCAAAAAAAATTACATCAATACTCTCATATTGGGCTGATTATAAAAAATTTTCTCCGAGATTCACTTTTTCACGAAAATACTCTGAGAAATTACAATATTTTACATCATAACTCTAGCCCGACCGAGTGAGCTTTGGGTTTAATCATGTTGTTTCATTTAAGCTAACATGACATTTGAAATATTGTCTTAAGTTCAACTCTTTATCTTTATGGCCTTACCATTTTATTTTATAAATATGGAGTACAAGACTAAAGTAAAAACAAAGGAAAAATTCACATTAATACTCCAAATTTTGTTGATTATATAATATTACTCCCAATTTCACTTTTCTACGCAATACTTTGAGAAATCAACAGATTTCACATCGCTAATTTAGCCCGACTCTTTGGATTCAAATCCTACCCTCACCGTTTTATTTTATGAGTAAAAAATCAAAACAAAAAATAAGGAAAATTTTACATTAAAAGTTTCATATTTGGCCAATTATATAATATTGCTCCTAGGTTCACTTTTCCACATCAATATATACCATGAGAAATTACCAAATTTTATATTGCTACTCTAGCCCAACATAGTCAGCATCAGGCTTAATCATGTTGAATTCTTTTAGCTGACATGACATTATAAATAGTGACTTTGTAACATATCTAAAGTAACATAATTAAATTGGATGTAGTTTAGACTTTTTTGAATAAATTAATAAAAGAGCCCTAATTGAACTCGATGAAATCGTCTACATTTGACTTCACTATTTTTTTATGCATGCATTACATTAACTTAAATATTTGAAGTTGTTATACATTACACTATAGTTTTTGTTTGACATTTATAGTTAAAAGTTTTTTTTGTAGTTGTATTATGTTATGTATTTTTTGTTAATCCCACCCCCGTGAATGATATGTTGGTGATAATTGAAGAAATCTTTGAAAAATATGCAAGTCCAGAGTCCTAGAGTCTGATCTATTCAACTCTGCGATGGATCTGCAACGGAATTGCAGTCCATCAGCATATATGCATCGTAACACAAACAAGGTAAACCCATAGCAGATATCGTCAAAGATCTACAATGAACCATGTACGTTCCCCAACACAGAAAGTTCGAGTCTGACAACTTTTAGCCGCGTTGTTGGTTCGTCACTGATTTGCAATGAACAAAAACGTCAGTCACAGATTTGAGCCGGACGATTACTTTTTTGCGACATAAGTTTTCCGTCACAGATGATGAATATGTTATGACATTTCCAAATCTGCGACAAAATTTGTCCGTTGCAGATTCGACAAAATCTTGTAGTGACAAGAGTGCCTCCGAGGCCATGCGCACTCATGCCCATGTGGAGAAGGTAGTCATGGCTGTGTGGAGTTACTTTGGGGTCACACCCTGACTGAACACGAGTTGTAGAGCCTTTAGGGTAGCAGAGCTAGGCATAATAACCCTTGGGCAATTTGCCCCTTCATAGCTAGTCTCTTCCACTACATTAATGTGGTTGCTAGCATTGTTTTTGTTGCTCAGCTCCTTGGTTCTACCATTTTCATAAATGAGAGTTAACCTACAAGTGTGTAACACCCTAATCCGTCCAGGTCTGCAGCCCCTTTCGGACTAAAGTATTAACTTGGTAATCGTAAAATTTAAAAAGTTTCAAATATTTTATTTATCACAATAATAATTTTCATAACATAAACGGTACGGAGTATTCAACAATATTGCGGAAGCGAATTTAAAATGTTGTCATATAACAATAAATTAATTCAAAAGTTGTCACATCCATTCCGACTATCTCGCCTCCGTCTGCCTCCAGGATCACGTCACATCATTCTTTCTATTAACCTGCGTGTAGAAAATAAAACACACTACACGCTCAGCGGTAAAGCTGAGTAAGCATATCTAATGCGTCGAACATCCACATAAATGGAATCTCAATTCATAATCAACCATTTGATATCGTGCACATAATGTTCAGTTCGAATATTCATTTTTAAATATTCATTGTTCCATATTCAACATTCAACATTCAAATTCAATATTCAACATTCGTATTCAACAATATCCTTACACTATTCTTAGTCTAAGGCCAATCTCTTTCATATTTATCAATCCTTAAACGAATTCTAGTTTAAGATATTTCTAATCAATTCTTAAACTATATTCTAGTCTAAGGTACTTTTATCCAATCCTTAAGCTAGGCCTAGTTTAAGATAAACTTACCTTCGCTTAAGGTCAACCAGAAGCCGAACAGCGGAATGCTCATTGTCGGGTTGGGTGGTATCACCAAACGAGTTCCTCTAGTTTGGTTTGTAGATCCCGTACGTACGTTTTAACCCAGGCCACCGAATATTTATAATTATACCTGCAAGGCCTATTTGTAAGCTATCTTAGAGGTCTTCTAGATAGTCTTAGAAACCAACGTCAACCTAGGTATATCTTAGAGTTCTTCTAGATATCCTTACATTCTAAATCATTTCATAATCATCAATTTATTCATTTCAATTCATTTTTTAATCATCAATAATCATTTTAATCAGTGGGTTTATCAAATCATAATCATCATAATAACCATTCATCATAATTATCAATCAACCTAACATTCAAAGCAATAGCAATTAGCGGTCTAGTGTCGAGTGTTAACACTCGAACTTACCGTCATGCATCACATAATGTCAAAAACCATAATTTTTATTGTACAAAATCATATTGATGTTGTTCATAATTAATTGGTATAAAAAATAGGATTTTATAGCTCAAAAATAGCATTTTTTGTAGCTGACTGTGTTCGGAACGGTCGACCGTTTTCAGGTGACGGTCGACCGTTATGGCCACAGTGGTATGGGAGTTTCTGGTCTTAAAACGGTCAACCTTAGTGGAGGGACGGTCGACCTTTGTCGCAGAACGGTCGACCATTCCTGCAAACTAGCCAACAGTACTTCATCTTCAAACTCGGGTTAAATATTCGAAAAATCATTTTAAGCCACCAAACTTCAATTAAACTATATAGAAATGTTCTCTAATGTTCATAGATCATTTCAATACCATTAATTCGAAGTTTTAACAACAAATTCAAGGTTTATGATTCTTGGTTCTTCAAGCATGTCAAACACAAAACTCAACCAAACGACCGTTTATGAACGTAGAAACGATCTATACGAACATTCTAGTCATTAGATATATCTACGGGCTCACCTCGAAGCTTAGCGAAGATTTTTGAAATTTTCCGGCAAAACTTCTGGCGACGATAACTCTTAACTCCGGCGATTCCACACCAAAATGGCAGCACCAGTGCACTCCCTTATATAGAGAAGGGAAGGAGAAGAGGATGCACATGCTGAGTCGGGAAGTCACTTAGCCGATCTTCAATCGACGGAAGAATCAGCTCCCTGGGATTTACACGCCATTCCCTGATTGGGACCAATTTTGGTTCCAGTAGGGATACACTTTTTGGTCCAACTTTCTCCGAATTGAATTCCGGTTGCACCGTTGGGATCAGACAGTCAAACTCTATTCAACGGTATAATTTTTATATTTATTTGTAATACTTTTTCCGACATCATATTTTTGGGTGGTTGACTTTGATAGAGTAAAAATTCATTTAATTGACTTTTATTCCAATATTTAATTCATATTATTTATTTCCATGATTTATGTCAATAAATCATTTCATTGTAAACAATTTCTTCATTTATTCTTAATTTAAGTCTGTACTCAGGTTCCCAATCAAGATCACACAATAAGTCAACATGTTGGATTTATCTCTATGAGATTTATCCTAATTGTGATATTGGATATCAAAACACATTTTATTTCGGCACAAAGCCCAATAACAATTTATTTTAATCAAAACAAATTTGACTAATTAAAAATTTTAGGATATGTTTTGGGGCGTACAAAGTGTGTTTCCTAACTCTTAATGAAAACATCAATTTGATGGTCGTAAAATCACCTTGGAGTCAGTTCTGAGGGAAGGGTGAATAGAAGTAATAGAGAGAGAGAGAGAGTGTGTGTGTGTGCAGTATGAGTATATTATGCTTGAAATTCCAATTGGATCCTTTATAATAAGGCTAAAATCATTGGCTACATCGATTACCGGTTATTGAGTGACAACTTCTTAGCACTTGCAATATCGATTTCCTAGCAGTTGAAATGTTCCCCTCCGGCAGAATAGTGGTTAGAAGTGGCCCTCGCGAGTAGTCCCCTCTGCGTATGTTCCGTGCTTAGTATGTGTCTTCTTATGCCATTTAGTGGTTAGAAATCACACTCGTGAGTAGTCCTTCCGGTCCCATGGCAGTGTCTAGGATTTCTTGCTCGAGCCTTGGTTCGGGCCTCGTCGTCCCCACAGAAGAAGCTGACCAGGTCAGGGATCCGGCCGAGGGGGCTCTTCTAGAGCCAAGCGAGATGGGGCTTGTTCGCCCTTCCGGTTCGCGGGGTGGGGGCATGGGGATGGAGAGGTGGGGGATGCGCGGTAGGGGCAAAAAGTGAGTAGGAATTTTTCTCCGAAAGTAAACACAAATTATTTTTCTCTTATTGGTTTAAAAAAATTATTATTATTATTTTAAATTTATAATTTTAATTGTTAAATTTAAAAAATTAAAATTAAGATTAAAATTAAAAAAATTCCAGGATTTTTTTTTCTCTTGACAAAAGTGACCCATGATACTTTATTTACTCCCCAAAGCAAATGGTTTGGCTTTTACCACCGGTTTCCCCCAAGTTGCAAGAGGAGTGAATGGGTTGTTGATTGAGACCATAGTTGAAATTTGCCAGTTTCCACCGATAAAAATGTGAAAATACAAAAAAGATTTGGTACTGTGGTACAAGATGCGAGTACGTTCCGTCCGGACCGGTCACTCACATATGTCCTGCCTCACATACTCTCTCCACCGAGTGAGAATTGGTCCACACAAATCCTCTTCACTTTTTTCTTTTGTTCCATAACTGCCCCTCCTTAAAACTCACCTCTTTCCCTTCCATCCTTTTCCGTCCTTTAGCCGTACGGCGCCCCGGTTCCTCCTCTCCAATGACCAAAACGCCCCCACCCTCTGGCCCACCACTTCTCCCCGTCGGCATGTTTGTTCGGGGTGTTTTCTGTCTTTAAGTAATGGAGGCGCCAGATGTCAGCAAGGGCATTCTGGGAAACCGGATTTTCTTCTCTCTTCTCTTGGCTACATTTATTATCAAAGCATCATATCAAGGCCAGTGTTTCAGTTAACGGTTGCTTGTTAATCTTCTAAACATTTCCATCAAAAGAAAAGAAAACAAGCTTGGGGAAGCTGTTCAATACTATACGTATAATAAACCTTCGAAGTTCAAACCTTCCCCGAAAATACCTCCAATTTCTTGTTCTTCATAATTACACAGGTTTCTGGTGGGCTTTATTAAAAATCTCAATCATCTGCAGAATCTTGGCTTTTCCGGTTAAGGAGAGACCCAAAGATCCATCTTTTTCTGGGTTTTTTTGGTTTGTGTTTGTTTTCTCTTGCATGCGATAAAGATTCGATCTTTAACCACAATGAAGAAGCAAAGATCGATCCCGGAGTCCGATTTCAACTGCTTTGATCTGCTGTCCGAAGAGATATTATTCTTGATTCTTGATTATCTTGAAGAAAACCCAGCTGACAGGAAATCATTCTCTCTTGTTTGCAAGGCATTCTACAGCGTGGAGTCCCACCACAGAAAAGCACTGAAACCCATACGCCCATTGCACTTGACCAAGATCCTCGGAAGATACCCTCACGTTTCTGATCTTGATCTCTCTCTGTGTCCCAGAGTCACAGATGCATGGCTCGCTGCGATTTCCAGTTCTTGCAGGAAAACATTGAGATCAATCAATCTTTCTAGGTCTAAGTTTTTCACCCATGCCGGCTTGTCGAATCTAGTGATGTCTTGTGTGAATCTGGTTGAAGTTGATTTGTCCAACGCCTCGGAGTTGAAGGACATGGCGGCAGCCGTGGTAGCAGAAGCTAAGAATCTGGAGAAGCTTTTGCTGGTGAGGTGCAAGGGTATTACCGATATTGGAATTGGATGTATTGCTGTTGGGTGTAAGAAGCTTAGACTGCTGAACTTGAGATGGTGTTTGGGGGTTGGAGACCTTGGGGTTGGCCTGATTGCTGTCAAATGCAAGGATATTCGTAGCTTGGATCTCTCTTATTTGCCGGTAATGAGCTGTTTTCTCTACTCTTTTTGCTTGAAGCTGCATTTACTTTTCGTGTTTGGAACTAACCACTCTTGTATTATATATAGTCGAAATGTATGGCCATATAGCTTGGCCAAACTTGAGATGGAAATGCTATAATAGACGTCTGAACATATTGTATTGTGTAGGAGTCCCTAGAGAGAATGGTAGGTTAATAAAATCTTAAGTTGAATTAGCTGATTGTTGAATCCATTTGTTTTGTGTAGTTTTACTCAAGCATCTTATACCTTAGTTGAGTGACTATTATCCATAATTTGGAGATGCCAGTAGAAGAAACATCAAAGAGAAAGTGTTAAGATGTTATTGAAATGCTCAATGTAGCCATTAATTTCTGTTTCGTTCTTGGTTTGAAGATATCAAACAAATGCTTATCGTCAATCTCGAAGCTGCAAAAGCTTGAAGATTTGGTTCTTGAAGGATGCTATGGCATTGATGATGACAGTCTCATAGCTCTCAAACAAGGATGCAAATCATTGGAGGTATTATTATTATTATTATTATTCATCTCTTTTAATATATTTCTTGTGAAAGCGAAGAGGAACTGAAGTCTCGATCTTTCATGTTTCCATTGACAGACACTCAATATGTCAAGCTGCCAGAACGTTAGCCCAGTGGGTTTATCTTCATTGACATGCAGTGCCGGATGTCTTCGACAACTTACCTTGTCATATGGATCTCCCGTAAGCCATCTTAAACATTTCGACCCACCCTTCACGACAAAATTTCTTTCTTTTTTTTTAATTCAAAATTACATTTGATGAACAGGTAACTCTTGCTCTTGGTGAGAGCTTACAGAAGCTTTCCATGTTGCAGTCCATTAAACTGGATGGTTGTCAGGTGACGTGCTCCGGACTAAGGGCCATTGGGAACTGGTGTGTGTCACTAAGAGAACTTAGCTTGAGTAAATGCCCCGGCGTTACGGACGACGGCCTTTGCTCTGTCGTTACAAAGCACAGAGAACTGGTGAAGTTGGATATTACCTGTTGCCGCAACATCACTCATCTCTCCATTTCCAACATTACAAATTCGTGCCCCTCGCTGACTTCCCTTCGGATGGAATCTTGCACCCTTGTGCCAAGGGAAGCTTTTGTTTTGATAGGACAACGGTGCCAGTCTCTAGAGGAACTTGATGTTACAGACAATGAAATTGACAATGAAGGTCAGTCACCCTCCCCATTCCCTCATTCCTTGAATGTTTTCTTCTTCTTCTTCTTCTTTGAGCTCTGGCTTAATGATTGTTTTGCTCTATGTATGTACTGAAAACAGGCCTAGAATCCGTTTCCAAGTGTTCGGGTCTGTCTTCCTTAAAATTAGGCATCTGTCTGAACATAACTGACAAGGGGCTTATCCACATCGGCACGTCTTGCCCGAATCTCAAGGAGCTTGACTTATACAGGTCCACTGCATGATTTTTGAAAAGCAAAATGTTCGCCTTGATTATGTTTTCTGAAGTAGAAAAAAAATGGTTTGCAACAGGTCATCTGGAGTTACGGATTCGGGTATTTACGCAATTGCCCGCGGCTGCCTCAGCCTTGAGACAATTAACATAGCATATTGCAACCAAATTACTGATCACTCCTTTGTGTCACTGTCCAAGTGCTTGAAGCTAAACACACTTGAGAGTAGAGGGTGCCCTCTTCTCACATCTTCAGGTCTAGCTGCAGTTGCAGTTGCTTGTAGGCTACTGGCTAAGCTAGACGTCAAGAAGTGCCACAATATAGATGATACCGGAATGATTTCTCTCGCCCAATTCTCCCAAAATCTCAGACATGTAAGTATATGTACCCGTTGTTCTTAAAACCTGAACTTAAGAGTGTGTTCTCTTCAACTTATTTTTATTGGAATCAGTTCAGTTTAGATCAGAAACAATTTTAAATATTACTACATTCAAATCAAACCAAATCAGATCAGAACTTATTCCAATGAGATCAGAATCATTCAGATCAAGTGAAGAGAACAAGCCCTAACTTGGTTAAATTTAACCGATCGGATCTTTGTCTTTGTTGTTTTTACAGATAAATTTGTCCTACACATCGGTCACCGATTTGGGGCTTTTGGCTCTTGCCAGCATAAGCTGTCTGCAGAGCATGACCGCAATCCATCTGAAGGGGCTGAGTCTTAGTGGCCTCGCGGCTTCTCTTCTTGCGTGTGGTGGACTGACCAATGTGAAACTTTCGTCGTTTTTTAAATCCCTTTTTCCCCAGCCTCTCATTGAACATTTACAAGTCCGCGGCTGTGCTTTTCGGTGGAGTGACAAAGTGTTTCGGGTATGCTTTCGATCATGTTTTTTTTCCCTTCTATTTAGCGAAATGAAAAGCCCTCAAATCTAATTCTCCTTCTACCTTTTCGGCTTGAATTACAGGCGGAATTGGACGCGAAATGTTGGAAACTCCAAATGGACGACGGCTCTTGAGTTTGCCATTCCTTGGAGGGCTAATGCATACTGCTTTCGTCCCAGAGTATTGATTCAGTTTGACATTTATGCGTCAAACTAGACAAACTTTGATTATCGATAAAATAAAAATTGTATGGTATTTTAGTAGGAAAAGTTGTATTGTACGGAGTACGTTAGAGAATACACAACTTATCGTCCTATAATGGATAAGCAAGAAAAGAATCTGGTTGCGTGCCATTTAAAACGGTCCAGCTAAAAATTGTGTTGCTTCGCTGTATGGAGAATATTGGATTGTGGATTAAGGAGTCATTAAACTTTGTGGTTGTGCATACAATATAATGACTTGGCATCACTGACTTTTGCGGAGTAGTAACGCCATGGGATTTGGATACCACCATCCCCACTTTCCACTCGGCATATCAACTTGGAGAGTACCCAAAATTTGTACCCCATTTGTACAACAAAGATATGTACTAACATTTTGATGTTTATACTGGCATAAAGTATTGGTGCGTTAACAAAAATTTACACTGATACAAAGTGTTGGTGCGTTAACAAAAATTATCATTACACCAACATAAAATGTTGATGCATCCCTGCGATGTACAAAATGGGGTACAAATTCTTGGGGTACAAATAGCATTATCCTATCAACTTTTTCTCATTTCATCTATATTCAGAAGTGTCATCCTCATTCCATCCCTATTCTTTTTTATTTTTTTAAATATTAATTTTATAACATTTCATTTAGAATTTTAATCTAATTTAAAAACTTTTATTAAACATTTCATTAATTATAAATAAAAGAGTACAATTATGACAAAAACTACATACTCCCTCCGTCTCAGAAAGAATGTCACGTTTACTATTCTGGCCTCTCGATAACTTTTGTTTGTTTACTCGTTTTGGTTGACCATTTGATAAAATAAAATATTCTTGTCGCATCTTGTTTTGTAGAGCTTTTCATATACTTTTGAATGATGTAATTTTTACTTTTTATTACTCTACCAATTTGAAATTAAAGTGATTTTAAAAGAGATGATATTTTACATGTCGTTCGAAGTGTTGCAAATAAATTGGGACGAAGGGAGTAATTAAACTGATGCATTAATTAAAGACAATAATGACAAACACAATTAATAAAAGATTGTGAAAAAAACCAAGATTAAAAAAACTACTTGTTGATAGACCGAAAAAATCATACCCTCTCGATCTCAGGTTAACGCTTGTTGTCTTCTTCGTGGCGCCGATGACTGTAGTTTCATGTTGCGCTAGAAGAATTCGCATGGCGTCCGTAACCAAATTAGAAAAAATTGCTCGGCTTCGTCAGAAGAGGAAGAAGAATTCATGGCACAAAATCTTTTATAAAAAGAGAAGTATATTTTTAGAGAACAATTGATGAAAGTTTGGGTAGATGAAGTGTGTTTAAATAGAGTAGTTTTTTTTTGAAACCGAAAGTGCATCCTTATATTCACCTCAAAAAATAATTCTTTAATTCTTTACAAATCAAAGACCCAAATTAGGGAACTCCAAACCTACACATTCCTCTTACTTTCTATAAATGAAATACATTGGTATTTGATAGTATTAATTATCACTCACATTTGGAATTCCCTGTTATGTCTCTTCCAATTCATTGTTCTCTATATAGGACCATGCTAGGGTGCCACCACATGGGTGCTACTATGGGCGCACCCATGCTTCGCACAGACAAACACAGACAATAATTGTCTGTGTCGCACAGACAATTATCGTCTGTGTTTGTCTGTGCGAAGCATGGGTGCACCCATGGTAGCACCCATGTGGTGGCACTCTAGCATTTTCCCTCCATATATAGTACTCTCTCCGTCCTATAATGTTCTTCCCGGTTCTGTTTATGAAGTTTGACCGACTTTATTTTTAATTTAATTTATTTGATTGTAGGTGTAAAATTAAAAAATAAAATTTATATATTTAAAAACTACATCAAAAGTTCTACAAAACAAGAGGTGACAAGACTATATTATTTTATCAAATACCTAATGAAAATAGGTAAAGAAAGTGATTAAAGTTTGACCATGTGAATAGTAAGTGGAAAGAACATTTCAGGAAGGAGGAAGTAGCATAAAGTAGCCCATCCAGCCATGTTGGGGTGCGATGGAAGAGCTTCGGAAAATCAAGCCTGGAGATCCAGTGTTCGATTCTGCATACCACCATTTTTAATACTCCGTATTTATGCTCCTCAATTGAATCCTTAAGTAGTCTAAAAAACATTTTAATGCAAAATATTTAATTCTATTTTTTGAGGTAGTATTTTTGTATTAATACATATTTCTTCTTCATTAGACTTTCAGTTTAAATAAATATTAAATAATCATTAAAATTCTTTTAATTAGACTTTTCCTAATAAATATCTAAGCAAATCTACTTTTTATTTTATTTTTATTCTTTTTGCAATTTCTTTCCGTCCTTAAAGTGTGATAAAGAAGGATTATATTATGGATATGTCCTCAATTTTATCCTCAAGAAATCTAAAAAAACATTTTTAATGCAAAATAATTTATTGTATTTATTGAGGTAGTAATTTTTGTATTAATACATATTTCTTCATTTGACTTTCAGTTTACAGAAATATTAAATAATTATTAAAATTCTTTAAATTAGAATTTTCCTAAAAACTACCTTAACAAATCTACTTTTCATTTTATTTGTATTTTTTTGCAATTTACTTTCATTTTTAAAGTGTCTAAATCTTTTGTTCTAATTTGAATCTTTTGACAAAAAAATCATGATATCCAATTAGTGAATTATATCTTTAAAAGTTTCAGGTGTAGAAGTTATGACTTTAAAAAATCCATTTGAGAAACATATTTTGAATGTTAATTTAAATAGTATATTTTTTATAACGTACGAATAATAACATAGTATAAATATATGTTTACAATTTAAGAAATGGGACCCCATAGTTCCCAATTCCTGGATCCGCCTCTGCCTCGTATAATTAACTACATTATAATTTGACACTTAGGCATTGTAAGTCTATTCCAAACCTAGTCAACCTATATTGCTTCAGGAAAGGTCCCTAGCAACCAGCCATACCCTTGTTGTACAGTATAACAATCAACTCTAGGCATGCTAGCAAATAAGTTTGTTTCCTTGATCATTTGTTTCCAGTAATGGAAGCTGTTGGGTTTGGGAATGTACCCCCAAAAACCAGCATTTTTATGTATCTTGTGTAAATCCATTGAACCCATAGTATATCTTTTTTATTGTGAACATCTAGTTCAACTTCATGATTGAAGCTTTCTTCCATATAGCCATATTTCTCAGCCCTAAACCTCTTAATCTCTTAGGTAGGTATAAATCTTCCCAATTCACCAGAGGGGTTCTCTTATATTTAGTTGTTGAGCTCCAAAGGAAGTTCCTCCAAATAGCTTGGACAGTCTTTATCACTTTAGTAGGAACCAGGAAGATCCTAGCCCAAAATGTTAGTATCCCAATAAGTGAATCCATTGAGTAGTTTTTAAAAACAAGTAACAGTCAAATTTTGAATTTTTTGGGGGGAGCAAGAGCAACAGTCATAAGACAAAAAGAAGCATGTCGGATTGTGGACATCGGCATGCAAAAGCACGCAACGCCGAGTTTCGATTGGGGGGATGTTCCCTGTTGAGACCGCGTGCCACATGGGCCGCGCTGATCCCACACCTCATAGCCTAATACACAACAAAAACATTATTCTTTGACTTTTTCTAAAAATCTTTCTTGTTTTGACTTTTTCTGTCGATCAGTGACACACTTTGATTACAAATTGTGAGAAAAATATATTTAATTATAATATAAATTCAATATAATTTAGTTTACCTTAGGATATAGTTTTGATATATCAAATTTTTATGTCATTTATTTATTCAGATTATATTTAATTTTTGGTAAAAAATGTCTCTGTTTGATTAAAAAGTCAAAACATGAAAAGTTTCTAGGACCAGAGAGAGTAGGATATAAGATCTTATTTAACCATTATTGTGGCTCGGTTCTCATGACATTGCAATGTTTAAATATATACACTTCATTTTGAAACTTTAAACTTATAATCATATTAGTTGAAATAGAAATAAATCCAGTCAAAGATTATAAATAAAAAATAGAAAACATTTTCAAACGTAGGGATCAGAGTATACATTTAAATATAAAAATAAAATTATATTTGCTCTTTTAGTTTCTTTTTCAGTCAGGAAAAGGAGGGCATGAATTTTTTTCCTTTTTTGATTTTTCTACTACATTTTTGAAATTTAAACTAATAATTAAATGAACAGAAATGAAAATAAATATAGTCAAATCTCATAAATCAGAATGAAAAAAATATTTTCGGATGAAGGGACCGGAGTATATATTTAAATATAAATATAAAATTATATTTTCTTTTTTTTGTTTCTTTTTCACTCAAGAAAAGGACAACTTTTTTTTTCATTTTTTTGGTTTTTCAACAACTTGCTTACGTCCATTTTTAAGTAAAATTGATTTAAGAAACCTCCCTAAATAATAGTGAAACATAGGTCATATCTTCAAAGTAGTAGCTCAAACTTAAATTTTAATAAATATGACCGACCGTGGGATAGATATGAACACCCGTGGCAAACTCAAACTCAATCTTTCAAACCTATTTTCTTTTGTAATATGACATTACATATGAGCACACGTCGCATAATGCATTGTCATTTGTGACATTATGTGGTGCAACGTTTGACATTATGTTTTGTTTTTTGACACTGTATTTGGCCGTTATTAATTATGGCATCGTGACACGTTTAACAATGTAGATTATAAAAACATAGAATTTTGAACCAAGTTGGAGCTTAGAGCAATGGAAATGCCCTTGACGCCAAGGGGCGCCATGGGGTGTTTAACGCCTCCTCGGCATTAAACACCGCCCCCCTTCAGGCTTCATCTTGGCGTCTGATATATACGGGGGCCGTCCTCGATCATACCGGCCCAACAGATCGTTCGGCTCCACAATGTGTTCGCCCGAAGCGGTCCATTCAGCCCCCAAAACGTTATGCAGATTATATCTAATTCTTTTCTATTTTTATTTACTGTAATTTAGATTTTATTAGGTGAGCAAAATATAAGCTCCTCCGAGGGTTTCTTTTCGGTTCTTTACCTCGTCGCTTTTCTTTGAACCGATAGGATAAATAACCTAGTTCTAGTAGGATTGGGAGAAACCAACTACTATTTAAAGGGTGTTGAATTCTTTCA